TATATGCTGGGCAGCTAGCAAAAAAACAATTAGATATACTTGTGACAATAGTTTTTGTGCATGTTGTAGCAGACAGGCAAGGCTTTGGCCTTATTAATCAATTGAATCAACTGTGAAGCTTTGACAACCTGGATGGTTGATAAGTTTGTCTTAATGAAAAATCAGTACCGTAACAAGAAAATGTCGAAAGACAAAAGTTTCCGCTCCCTCCCAGTGTATGTGTGTACCTTTTGTGGTCTTTGCATGGAGACAGTTTGTGAACCTGAGTTTGCTTTCTGTCTTATAGACGACATCCCTCTTTTCATTGGACGGGATGATGAACTATATAGACTCTCCTGGATTCTGAATAGGATTGGAATCCCTGTCACCTGTATAGATGCCCAGTGTTTTACTGTTTTCTTCGAGTACCAGCTTTGAAACAACAGACATCGGCAATCATGGTTCACCGTTCATATCTCTTCTCGGGTGCTCTGAAAAAGTATATTATCTGGGATTTTAGCCATCACCGATCTGTTTCAGTTCTTTAAGTAAGTTATTCTTGGTTTACCTCTGCTTCTTTTGCCCTCTATATGTCCAGTGAGTTTTAGTGTCTTTTCAGCTGATCTAAAGCACTGTTGTCTTTGTCCGTCTCTTTTCTACAGAAGTTGCTCCCCCGGGTGTCCTGGGCGCGGTCAGTGTGGACTGGACAGGAAGGCATTCAGGAGGATGATCCTGAGATCTATAGCATCATCCAGAAGGAGAAGTTCAGACAGGCAAACGGTCTGGAGCTTATTGCTTCAGAGGTGAGTTGAATTGAGATAAAGGATGGCAGGGCTGATTTTCAATTTTTCAAGGTTGGTTTTTGAAGTGGAAATGCAGATGATGCTCATTTAGGTCACAAGGGTCAACGAAAGGGCCAGAGCTAAGATAGTTTGATGTTCCTGTATGTATGTGTACATTGTCCCCAGGCCCTTCTACCTGAGTGACTGGTTCTCACAAACTGATATTATTTTTTGAGAATGTGTCAGGACTACAAAAGCATTTGAACATTGGTAAGCGAAATGTTCCTTTAAATGGACAGAAATTCAGCTTGAAGTTTAAGGAGTTGAAATCGAAAAAAGCACAAAAAAATTTCTTATTTTATGTACGCTCTGTCATCAGTTAAGTCATCCTGATTGACAAGCATGAAATGCGAGTTTGTTTCTCATGTGGGGAAGTTAAAATATAAAGCTTTTTTAGTTGGAGTGTTTTATACCACTCTGCAGGGGTTAACCCTGACTGAGTGTTGGAGCAGAGCATGTCTCCTAAATGATTTAAACTGTGTCGATCAGGACATAAACCAATTGCAATCAATTAAGGCACTGGGTCACCCAGGTTGATAAATTGTGAGGCATCGTGGTGAAATCAGGCGCTCGTCAGAATAATGAAATCGAAGAAAACAGCAGTTTTCTCCCTGCTTAGCATTTTTATTAAATTTTTGTTTTCTGGCTCAGTACCTTTTATGCCCATTTACCAACAAATTCTGTTGAGGATTTCACCGAAAAACATTGATTAAAAATCACAAAATATAAATTTACAGTTTCCATGGACTCTTCAGCTTTTGAATTTACCAAGCTTTGGCAGCCATTTTCCCACTAATTTTTCCTCTGAAACCAAACCAGGTGACCCTAACCTTCTTCAATCCAAAATATCTGCACTTCTATTGAAGATGGATGGGTAATTTTTTTCTTTGAAAGCAAGACAAATGAACAGACTTTAAGATGACACCAATAACTCAATATACCCAAAAATTGACGAGAGCCTTATTCCACCACACTGCCTCACAATTGTCTTTGGTGTACCTCTGGTATTCTTTACCACCTTATAAATAATGCTGTCCGTGGTCAAAGGAAATTTTGGCTTGTGGCTTAATCAGCAAGACAGTGTTTTGCCTAACAATGAAAATTTCTGGAGGATAGTTTTTGCTGCAGTTTATGTCACCATTGACGGGGACTGCCAGTGAGTAACAAAGTTTACAAAGTCTGTCTCACATCAATGTGTCACTGAGTTGTTTGTTTTAGAGTTGCTTCCTTATGTTATGGTGAGTGTATTTTCACTACGGTACTTTCCAAAGATTTGTAACATGCCATGTTTCTTTTTAAACCTTTTTCTTGGCGATTCTATTGAGTATTATTGATCATGACAATATTCTTTTTTGTTGTGAGGGAAAGTGTTATGGAAATGTTGGTATTATTTTTGTGCCATGTCTTGATAGTTTATATCGTACCTGCGCCTGTTTTGTGTTGTATCATCTTCCAGTAATTTGTATCGTATATCTGTGCCTTGTTGTTGCAGAACTTTGCCAGTCGTGCTGTGCTGGAGGCGCTCGGGTCCTGTCTGAACAACAAGTACTCAGAGGGATATCCCGGAGCCAGGTGAGCTGTTTCTATGTGTTTCCATCTGATACAGCTTATTGGACCAGGTTGCCTAGGAAACATATTACTAACTTCACAGGTTAAAGAAATTAGTTTTTTTTTAAATTCCTTTATATTTATTCTTTTTAAAGATTGTTAGTCAGCATGGGGTATTATAAGCCTTACCCATGTCTTTAAAAATTTTTGTTAGGATATTGTTGGAGCGGAAGTAAGCAGTTGGGGGTATCCATTTGTCTGAAGGTGGTGTGTCATACATACAACACACATACACAGGCAGTCATACACATGCAGTTTCACACAGACACACTCACATTCACACAGATTGCCATTTGTAGACATTCTCACTCAAACGCACATCTGAAATGTTACTCTATGGATGCCACCCTTGTTTTTTTTTTATTACTGTTTGTCTGTTGCTGTCATCAGGTACTATGGAGGAAATGAGAACATCGACGTCATAGAGAGGCTATGTCAGAGCAGGGCTCTGGAGGCCTTCAGACTGGACCCAGCACGGTGGGGGGTCAACGTACAGCCTTATTCCGGGAGTCCCGCCAACTTTGCCGCCTTCACAGCTTTGCTGGAACCTCATGACAGGATTATGGGCCTTGATCTACCAGATGGTGGACAGTGGGTACCTTTTTTTTTCAAATATATGTGTCACGACTTGATGGAATCAGGTGCTTGTCAGTTTTGGGGCATGTGGAGTTGCTGTTATCATCTTTAAAGAAGTTTGATAAAAATAGCCAAACTGGTGGGAATGCCAGTTTCTTCTATTCCTTTATTTTGACGAGCACCTGATTACACCATGCTGATATATATATATATATATATATATTTTATAAGCAGTACATTCAAGGCCCATGATTCAATTTGTGGTTAATTTTTTCTTATTCTGGACTTTGTTATGCCATTCTTCACATTTCATCTTTTTCTTTTGGTGTGGTAAAAGTGAAAATAACCAGGGTATTTGCAGCTTTTTTTGTAGGGTTGCACGTAACTGCCTCTGTAACATCTCTTTTTAGTAGCTTATATCGCCTGTAAATAATGACCGTTTATTTTCAGAGATCTCAGCATGGGCTTCTCAGCTAGAAGTAAAACCTCTTCTTTCTCATTTTATCATCTAAAGCAATAATTGAAAGGATTGGAGTAATATGATAACCATTTCATATTATGGATTGTGCACTTAATGAATAACATGAATGCGGTCAAACTTTTAAAGAATTTAATACTCAAGTAAGATAAAAAGGGCTTTTTATCAAACATTTCTTTTTTAGGTCTGTCTCTGTGTCTTTCTGCAGAAATGTTTTGTGTCTACAGAAGTAAATTATAACATACATTTCAAGGTGTGCCATAATTTATCCTATTTGAATACGCTAACTAGTTCATACTTATTTTTTTAATTCCTTCTTTTTGCCAGTCTCACCCATGGCTTTATGACAGATACGAAGAGAGTTTCTGCCACTTCAAAGTACTTTGAGTCCATGCCATACAGATTGAATGTAAGTCAGTTGAGACGATATTCTCTGTCATGTTTGTATTTCATCTAGTAATAAGTTTGGTTGTAATGAAAAGTTATCATTTGTATACATAGACAGTATAATGTTGTTGGTTGTTTGTTTTTTCTTTGATTATCATTATTTAAAAAATGTATTTTTTCTTTTTTGGTGAGTGGGATTACGTTGACTCTTTTAGTATGTTTATAATGCTCATCCAGTCTTAACTCCTTCGTTGTTACCGCGAGGTGTGCTTTCCTACTGTCGGCACTGATTTTCAGCTAAATAGTTAGCCACTACAGCAGTCTTATGTCTCGTATTAGTGAACTCGCTGTCTAGATCAGACTCACTCATATATTCTTCTTAGTCCATCCTAGATGTTCTGTTTTTTCCTTAGATAGTTTGTGAACTAATTCATGTACAAAGCAGTGAATCAAGTATGTTTAAAATCCTCTTCTTACTTAAGCTAATTAAAAGTTTGCTGCTACAGTATCTGAAAGTACTAAGGATAAGCTGAAATAATTGCATTTTGTTTGTTTTTTTACAGCCCCAGACTGGCAGAATAGATTACGACAAATTGTTTGAAACTGCCAGACTTTTCCGACCCAGGGTTATCATTGCTGGCACAACAGCATATTCTCGATTGCTAGACTACAAGGCTTTTAGACAGGTGTGTTGATAATAGATACTGTGTCTGTATTGTGGAGTACAGGGGCTGGCAGTTTCCAGCATTCAGGCAAGTTCTGGTCTAATGTCTCTCTACTTATTTATTATAAAGTACATCATAATGGGTGTTACCGCTACTATCATATTGTTTCACTCATTTCTAAAAGATACTCTCCGACTGGTTTTAAATCGAGTCCAATGTAGGCATCAATGATGACTTGCTGACACCCCTTTTATGGATTTATTCTCACATTGCTGATCTTTTGTCTGAAATAATAAGTTAAAACTGATTAATTATAAATCATAATATACTCACTTTGAGTGAGATAGAGAATGTGAGGGGAGGGAAACAAACTATTTTTATTTGTGCTATTAAATTTTGAATTAACATAAATCAGAAATTGCTAGGGTAATTGGGGCAAACAATCAAGGCAGAGTTAAAAAATAAATCAAAGTCAATTATATGTACCGTATGTATATAATTAACTCTTATCCTGCGTCTGTGCCCAGATGCGTATCTTATCAGCAACCGATTACGTCGGACATGCCGGGCAGGCCGCCGGGGTCACTCAGTGTGTACTGTTGGTGTACAGCGCGCGCGCCGGGAAACGTGTGTTTTCGCCATGAATACCGCGGGAGTGTGTTAACTGATGGTGAAAATAACGCTCTATCCTTCATAGCTTTCTATTTATAAAGTGTTACAAACACATGAATAACCCCCTCTCACAAGCTGATAAGACATTACGAGTAGTTACGCCCATTTGAATAACCTTTCTGGACGCTCTTGTTGTTATGAATGACCTGAGGTTCAAAAAGGGATAATTTAGGTCAATTTCCGAATGTTTTACACTCAAATTGTTCTTTGTACCTGCACAAGGGTATTCAAAACTATCAAACAAGCTCATTTTTTATCAGGTAGTATCATTTCATACAAAATCAAGCTCATTTGAAATATTTTGTATAGAAAAATGGAAGTCTTGTTTCCTGACTATCCTTTCGAGCTCCTCATGTCTAAGTGGGTCAATTTCTTCTATAATTTCATTGGACGAACATCCAGAGCTATCAACTTGGCATGTTTTGAATGAGACGTATGCCTCGATTACGAACCAACGCAGGTGGTTCTAGAAGAAGGCCACAAATGCACACAAACTCAAGCAGACTGGCGCACACACACTTGACCTGCGTGAATGGGGATCCGACTCGGGACCCGAATGACACGTAAGAGGATGCGCGTGCGCTGAGCCAGGAGCTACACTGACTCGGGACCAGAACGCAGGCGAGGTGCTGAAATAGGCTTATCGGGCTACATAAACCCGGCTCCCGCAGGATGAGGGTTAAGAGTTGCCATTGTCTTCATTCGTTGTCATTATGGGTGTCATGACAGAGTGAAATTTTTTTTTGACAAATGGAACTATTTGTATCATCTGAAGGCTTAAAAAATTACCCACAGCAGGAAAAATTTATGTTTCTTCCATTTCATTATCTTGTCAAGAGCCTGATCTCATGATGACTGATGACACACATATATTGTATTCAAATGGTTCAAAGTCCTTGCTTTATCACCTCATTTGTTGTCACCCAGAAAGCCATCTCTGACCTTAGATGCGTCCTAGTTGGCTAATAGATGAGCATTTAAATTAAAGGGTACTTGCTTCTTAGTTTACTTTGATATAAGTACTGTTGTTTAGGGAGATGATTTGTTTATTTGTCAATTGTTAGTTTAAGAATACAGTATACAATTGTACCTGTGTAAGACGGAATGGTATGGGAGCCAGAAAAAATTTCTGTCTTAGACAGGGGATTTAGGGGGGAGAAGGAAGGGGGTTTCAAAGGCCCAGCCAGAGGCAAGTAGTGGTCGAAACTTCACACCTCTCAACTATTATCCTCTCTGATAATGACATGGTCAGTCTTACTTATCCAATTACCACCAGTGTTTGCATTTCATAGGACCCCTGTTTGACATATATTAAAAGCAGAAACAACTGAACGTCTCATTTGCTTCCACCTTTAGCCCCACCCATCAGTGTAATAAGCATAGTCAACCAATGCCACCTCTCACTGCCATGTAACAACGATTCGAGGAACTCTTTTCTCAGCTGGTTGTACGATCAGAGCGGCAGTCATTGGTAAAACTAATTTCACACCTCTGGCTTCTAGCTACCCAGGAAAGTTTCCGTGGTGGCTCGCTTCTCGAGTACTTTCACTGGCACTCGTGAGATTTCACACCCACACCCGTGACCATCTGCATCGCTCAGGGCTCACGTAGATGAGGTAACATCTACCTCCAAATTGCACCCCTACTACCCTTCGTCGCCAGGTGGCATGGCAATAAGTTTAGAGCAGGCGGAACCAAACTTGCGAATTTTGTTTCAAATCAGGGCTGAATGGGCAAAGTATTTTTCGTCTTAGACAGGTAAAACCTTCGGAAGGGAGTGGATTTTTCTCTCCTTTTCCGCATTGGACAGGTTTCCGTTTTATATAGGCAATTAAAGAGGAATTTGTCAAGGGGGAGCGGGGAGATTACGTTAAGACAGGTTTAGGTTAAGGCAGGTTCAACTGTACTTGGATTAAATTATTATACAACTGGGCCATGTTCCTTCTAATGGACATAAATTTGAAGACATTTTTTTCAGTTGCATGGTTGCATATTTTGTACACTATCTGTGACAAGTTGAAGGCCCTCGTTTTTATACCATATCCCTGCAAATAGACGTACTGTTACTGACTTTAATAGTAGAGCAGCATGTTTTTGTATCCTGGAAATGGAGACTTTTTTTCAGTTGTATAGTACAGTAGCGTTTTTGTGTGTGCTGGTTGTGGAGACTTTTTGTCTAAATGTATAGTCGCATGTGTTTGTATTTCAGATCTGTGATGAGGTAAAGGCCCATATGTTGGCTGACATGGCTCACATCTCAGGCCTGGTGGCTGCTGACGTCATACCGTCACCTTTTGAGTATGCTGACGTTGTGACGTCAACAACGCACAAGACATTGAGAGGACCCAGGTTGGTATTGTGTTTAGAATTGTGTGTTGTATTAAATGTGTTCGCTGCTGTTTGCTTGTTGGGTTTTTTTTACTTTGTGACTCTAATATTCTTTTTTTTTCATGTTGTGACTGTAGTATAATATTCTTTTTACTTTAAAAAAAAAATTGTCAAGACTCTTTATGTGATGTATTCACTGTTTAGTATAAATTTGTACTTAAATTACTATAGGTATGGCACTCTGTTCAATTAATGTGTCATGCAATGCCTACTCGATTTCCTTTGACCTTCTCTACTGAATAAAGGATCTTGGTCATCATGCACAAGGCCTGTTGTGTCTGTTATCGTTATCTTATTACGTGTAGGTCTAGTCTGTTTCTTTCACAACATCAAAGCTTTACATTCCTGTAAATGAGTTTCCTTTACTTAATTTGAAAATTATCGTTAAAAATACCTTGCCATCACATGAAGGCTCAAGTTATAGCCTTGGATATTATTAAGACTGCACATTTGTAAATGATGTACCTACTGACGTTCTCTTCTAAACCATGTTGGGATTATACTTGCACTTTGGATGAAAGAAAAGGGCCTTAGAAATGGCTACTCGTTTGGGTGTTCTTCGTAATAATTTATAAGTTAACTATCATACTTTAGAAGAAAAAAAGACTACTCGATTGAGACAGGAATGGTTTGAAGCATGTATGTATGTTAAATGTGTTTGAGATCTTGAGGCTGAAGTGATTATAACAGGCAAACTAACAAATTAAGTATGTAAATTTCAGTGGTCCTGTGAAGTTGTTTATGATATGTTTGTGTCTTGCATTTCTCAGATCCGGCCTGATTTTTTACCGTAAAGGTGTCAAGTCAGTGGATAAGAAGACGGGTAAAGAGATCCTGTACGACTACGACAAGACGGTCAATGGGGCTGTGTTCCCGGCTCTCCAGGGTGGGCCCCATCAGCATCAGGTCGCCGGTGTCGCCGTGGCCCTCAAGCAGGTCTGTTTCAAGGACGACGAATGAACGAAAACATTGAGCTTTTTTCATCCTCCTCTTTGCTTCCTAATCTCACCGTCCACCTCCTTCTCTTTTATTTCTATCCTTTTTTTTTAGTTCCTCTTCTTCCATTTTTCTTCGCTCTCCTCTCTCTTCTTTTTTTTTCCCCCTTCATTTTTCTTTTTATCTCTCCTTTTCAGGTTTTTTTCCCCCCTCCTTTTTCAACAGGCATGGCACTAATGCTTTTCAATAATCATGGCTTGGTTAAGAATGATTCGAACTATCAGTGTGTGAGTGTGAGTATAAAGATATTGTTCCTTTATTGAATAAACAAGCGAACTAACCTGCAAACAAACAGAGTAATCAACAAACAAACAAACAATGTATGTGTGGAGTTATTGGTTTTTTTTTAGCAAAGAAGACAAATTAACTGACCTACAAACAAACATGTATGTGTGTGTACATAGATATTGTTTTACAAAGTGTGAGTGTGTGTTGTGTGTCCCCAGGCCATGCAGCCCGAGTACCGGGTCTACCAGCAGCAGGTGTTGAAGAACGCCAAGGTCATGAGTCAGGCGCTAGTGGACAGGGGCTACTCCGTCGTCTCAGGTCAGTTGGTGGGAGCGGGCAGTTGGTGGGTGCCCTGGTAGAAGCTGCTACTTCTGAGTGTAAATACAGGCTCTTTCGGTCTGCTTGTGAAGTCATGAGCTAGATGTACATATTGGTAAATGCAAAGTACACTAATGACAGACTACTAAGTGGAATGTACGGTATGGTAGGTGTTTAATGCTCCATTTAACTTCAAGTTACTTATGAGAGGTGACTTCCTACGGTAATGTCCTTCTCCTATCAGACCTTACCAAGTGAGCAGAGAGACTTGAAAACTTCTCAAACTACCCACGTTTAAAACCGTCCTAGTGGGTATTCGAATCAGAATCATTTGCAAGAGAGTCCAGCATGATACCAAAGAAACTAGCGGCTCACTGTGGCCTAGCCTGCTATACCTGTGCCTTCTAGAGATGATAAAGAATACAGACTCAAGTAGGAAAAATGTATCAAATGAAATGGAAAATCATCCCATTAACATAAAAATTACCTTCCAGTGCTGCATGTCTCTCCTTTCATCCATTCGTGACCCATATGATGAGTGTCATGCCTTATATTTAGCATAGTACCCAAGATGTCACTGTGACAGATCCTTTATTTTCAAGCCTTTGGAAGGGTAAGGACTTCAATGAAAAGCATTTTATGGTCCTATTTTGTGTAAGTACCCTGTGTTCTTGTGAATCCAAAATGTTGGAAAATGGTGCCTTTGCGAAAATCAAAGTTACCTTCTGTCACAAAAAGGATAAATAAGTGGGTCAGTGCAGCGTTATTTTATTCTGCATTCTATGAACTGAATGATGGCAAACGTTGGCTTTTTGTCAAAAACCTTATTTTTCTGAAATTCTACTCTCAGGAGGTACTGACAACCACTTGGTGTTGATTGACCTTAAACCTAAGGGCACGGACGGAGCACGCGTTGAACGTGTGCTGGAGCTGTGTTTCATCACCGTCAACAAGAACACGTGTGCTGGTGATAAGAGTGCCATGATTCCAGGAGGTCTTCGGCTTGGTGAGTGGGGTTTTAAAAAATGTTCTGTCATATCTTTAAGAAGGACATTTTGATAATCACGCATCACATAATGAATTTGACTCAATTGTCTTCAGGGATGTTGTTTTTCTGGGGGAGTTCCCCTGCTTTTTCACTGAAGTAAATCTCTACATAAACTAAATTTGTTTTCTGTAAACACCACAATATTAGTGTCTCTTGAATTTTCAGGGTTTTTTTGTTTGCACAATGTACTTTTCTAATGTGGGAGTTCTGCTTGAGATATGTTACCTCATATTTATATAATAAAAGTAAGGGTTTGTTGTTTGATGGATTTCTTTTTTCAACCTTGTTGTATATGATGCTGAATTTTATACAATTCTGACTGATCATGTTGGCATTAGTGCAAAGATTATAAATAAATTTAAAGATGTTTATACTCGTATGTTACAATACTATTTTGTAGCTAGCCACATATTCAATTCCCAAAGAGTTTTGTGAAACGTCCATTAGTTTCTTTTTCCAGTTGCACAGAGATTTTATTTTGTCAGAGTTTGTACATAAAAATCTTGTAACAAAAAACAATAATTAAAAAGGGTGTACAACTGAAGCTGTAATGAGTGTGTGCATGTGTTTTCCAGGAGCCCCAGCCTTGACAACTCGTGGTTTCAAAGAGTCAGACTTTGAGCAAGTGGTCGCTCTGTTGGATAAGGGAGTTCAGCTCACTCTTGAGGCTCAGAAGACGACAAGTAAGTAGCCATTATTTGGCTGGTACAGGGAATAAATACAGTTGAACCTGCTCCAACGACCTTTTGTCCAAGACAATCACCTGTACAAATGATCACTTACTTCCCACTTCCATCCTTTTTTTTTCATTATTCCAATATTATGATGACGCTGTCATGCTTCTCTTCCACTTCTGTGCACAGGACGTACGCTTCGGCATGCGGTGGCGTAAATCTAACAGTCACCCCAACTTAACAACACCTGCAAAATTAAGACTTCATGATTTGTAAATTTATGTTTTTGGGTTGTTTTTTATATAGAATTTTAAGAAAAAGATATAATACGCAGTCTAGGCTGTAAAAGACATGATATTATGGCTGAATCTACCCTATTGCTGGAGACAAATTATACATCGATGGAGTTATGCCCTAACTGTAATTTGGTTCCTTAAAAATTTGTGAACAGGCAAAAGAAAAAAAATTAGGTGATATCAACAACGAGAGAAGATGCAAAAGATTACCTACAGCAGGCCTACTTTTATACTCTTTTTAGTGCATGCTGACTTCTGATTATTATTGAGGGCCTACAGGTCGTCCTCAGCAATGATTTTGGAAGTAAAAAAACAACAGCAAACAAATGAACTAAAAAAAAACTGGCTGCTTTCTTTCAGTTACAGGGATTGAACATAATGACATCTTAGATATACAGTAGTATCCGCCTGAACTACAGTGTTCAGGAGAGCCCTAAGTGTGCATTTACACAGAGTGCATGTCTACTATCACATTTCCTTGATATTTTAGTAATTGCTGTTACCTCCCTTTGGGATGGGGGGTCGTTGTCACCGATAATATGACTGTTTTAAAAAGGATTCCCCGATCGCAGTTAAGTCCACAAAGGCGCTGAGTGGTGGGAAAAAAAGCAGGAAGACTGACTCTCTGTTACTGTATCGATGTTGGCAAAAGTCAAGAGAGCGTCCCTATAGAAAACTCGTCTTTTGCACGTCTAGGCTTTGTCTAGTCGTGCTGTTCTTTCGTCCCTCCCCTGTACAAGTAACTAGGAAAGCCAGTAAATTTTTACTTTCGCTCCTGCACACAAATGCACTGCTTCTGGGGGTCAAACCGATGTATTTTTATTTTACTGCCGATCACATATGCCTACGGCCCCGAAAACTGTCGGAAATCAGTTATTTTTAAGAAAATTTCAAACCTAATAGCAAAACATTAAATAATAGGAGAAAACTGGAGGCATGCCCCCTGATACTCCTCAGATTTCTTTTTCCTTTGTTTTAACTTTAACCCTCAACAAACTCAAACTTGTAACTTTGTTTCAGAAACATTGAGGGAGTTCAAGGCATTTGTCTTGGAAGACGACGAGACTCAGAAGAAAATTGCAGCGCTGAAGGAAGAGGTTCAAAACTTTGCCAAGACTTTCTCAATGCCGGGATTTGATAGCCGATAAAAAGCTTCTGAAACCCACTTGTCTGCAATACTGAATGAATCTTCATGTGAGAGATCTGATAATGCGTCTGACTGTGTCATAGAATATATCAAGGGAAAATTATAGATTCTAGTTGTTGTTACAAGCAATTCTTGTATGACAAACCTCCAACATTTTTTGGAGAAATGAAAGTTTCTGTTGACATAATTATTTTAGTCAAATCCTGTATCAACATCTATTTGAAAGCAGTTCTTGTTTTTTAAAATTTGCTTATATCTTTTGCCCTAGCAATCTGTGTACATTCTAAAGTTGAAAATGCTCTGCTCTTTGATGCAGGTGGGCTTACGACTTACAGGTCTTTTATTTGTTTTGTAAGGGGGGGGTTTTGTTGTTGTAAATGCTTGACTCTCCCAAGCCCTGTGTGTTTTGGAAGTGGCCTGATCAGTCTAAATTAAACCATCTACTTACTCTTTTTGCACGTGTATGGTCCCCTATACTTTTTGTACAAAATAAAAAGATTAAGAAGTCAAATTCTAAATTGATTATTTTTGATGATTTAACTCTTTCTGGACGTATCGTCAATATTTCGGCACGAGTCCACACCCCTTACGGACGTATCGCCCATATATCGGCTATGGTCGGACACGACAGTTTTGTTTCGTTTTTACTTGATCCATTATTTATAAGTTCTTTTTATTGTTATTGAAAACTTGGAAAGGGTTTAAGAAACCAAAACATCTAGTTTCACTTTTTCAAAGCATCAATCTGGCGAAAAATAAGTGAATGAATTAGTACTTGCGGTCTTGCATCAACAATGAGATCTGACCGGACTCAGTATAAATATCATAACTCAAACAAAAATTGGAATATTGCATTCAAATAAAAAGCTGCACATTCAGAAATTTATGGAGTCTGCTCTTGGCCTGTATATTATAAGATAGCTAAACTTATTCGCTTTCACATGTTTAGTATGTGCAATTTTTTCCGTCAAAATGTATTTTTCTCACCACCATCGCCATTTCTAACCCTTGTAATGGATATTTATGTTCAAAATTAATCCTTGTTTCAATTCCTTATTCAATTTCCTTCAATTTGATGTATCATATGTTACGTTTTGAGTGATGGTTATGCTTATATGAAGTTATTTTGTACTTCACTTGTGTAACCAAATCCAGCCACAAGTTAATTACGTCTAGACCTTAAAATAACTACGTCCGGAAAGAGTTAAATACATATAAAATAGAACTTTATTTTTTACTCAAAAAATTTATGCATCTAGATTTACGCTGTCTGCTTTATTTTTCAGCTAATGCTGCTATGACTATTTGAAAAACTGGTGGTAGACTTATGCCCTCTCTTCTCCTTTTTCAAGCTCTTGTTCCTCTTGAAAATGTTGGAAATATTAATTTTGTACTTCTTAACTCCCTTCTGTAACATGACAAGGTAGGCTATCAGTTTCAATTCTTTCATAAATACCACACAAGGGATTTGTTTACCTCTGAGAGTTATTGGCTCAGAAACAATGTTGAAAGAGACGGTGATCAGTCAACAAAGCGTATTACGATGTGCACAACAGTCTACCTTTTGATCATTGCATACTTATCACATGACAGGCAACTGCTGTGTGGAGTGAGTAAAGTTATAGCTTTCTATGTGCAGAAATATTTCTGTGATATTTTTTGTTATTGGAAGTTTCAAATGGGGGGAGTTGGTTTTAGGATTACACAGATAGTATTCAAAACTGACTATATTACATTTTCATGATAATATTATGTTACTGAACCTAATGATGTGTTCATGTGTTGATTCTCATTCTTGTTATTGGTGGCCAGGTGTGTTTTATTATTACAGAGAAAGCTTTATTTTTGTGGTTTTGCACTTTGAGCTGTACGGGTTCTTAGTGAATTTTGCACAAACATGTTTATGATGCCATTTTTCTTCTGCTCTTTTTTTCTTCAAATTTGATTTCTCACTTGAAAGAAGAACATTATTAATTGATGTTATATGACAAGCATCTTCTGAAAAAACTAGTCATGCATAATATCTCCGAATTGTTTTGCAATACACAGTGGGCTTTTTTTGCTCTCCAGACTAGATCTGAATCTATTACAGTTTTATTATTAATGAAACTTTAACTTTAAATGCAAACCATCGGTATGAGCCACGCTTTTCACCAGTCTTAAGCCCTACCATGATGTGCCGGTGTTTACATTAGTTCATCACTTACAGGTCAGTGCAAGTTTAAGAAAAAGTTACCATGAATGTAATTTTTAATATATAAATATATATATATATATATATATATATATATATATATATATATATATATATATATATACACTTCTCCACTTTCCATCTACGTATTATTTTATGATGCAGGCAATTTGAGATTTTTCTCATCTCCACATGCTTCATTTAAATAGTTTATCCCCAATCCCCTTACATACATCATGTCCATGTAAATTTGAAACCATCTACTTCCAGTTTTGTTGGCCTACAATTATACAGTACTTTTTAAAAATGTCTTTACCTTCTAGAGATTGGACATGTGTTCTGTAGGTGTGCTAATTTTGGTTGTTGTTTATTTCCATAAGTAATGTCAAGAGTTTTATTGGAACCTGAACTTTTTTCACTGACATTTGGCTAAAGATGATTTGTCAGAGTTTAAAATTTCAATGTACTCTAGAGAGAAGTCTGGAGTTGCACTTTTTCAATATTCGTTCGAATAAATGCAGAGCAGGTTGTATTCTTTTATTTTTTACTGCAAGTACACGGCACAACTTTACTTGCTTTCCTTATTTTCTGTAGTAAAATGGGTTTCTGCCCCTGTGGTTTTCTCATTTGTCTCTCTTTTTCTCTCTTACCTGTTAAAAGTGGTGTCAAACATTGTGAGTGTTCCAGTTAGGGGTGTAAATTTATTTTTAAAATTCAAAATTCTATTTGTATTACTTGCCAACATTTTCGTTCTCAAAGTTTTGAAGATGGCCATTTGCGGTGTATTGCGGGGGGGGATTGATGAGTATAATGAGTTTTCTGTCAAAGCATTATCTAGACCAAGGGTCTTCATTTAGCAACTTTGTTTGTTGGTATACCATGCAGAATATTAAATGTTTATCACGCTGTGAAAATTTAAACTTGATCTGTCTTCGACATTCTTCTGTTATTGTAGAAATCCATGATGTAACCTACCAACTGTCTTAATGTGTACATTCCGTTTTGACCCACTTCACCGAGTGCCTTGGTCACATACTGTGATGAAATAAAAACTACCAAAGATTGTGAAAATAGTGGTGTTTTTTTTCTCATATATTTAATCTATGAATGTTGTAGCCAACGTATGATAATTACAAGTAATACTTATATTAGATAGTCCAATCCACAATCTGACTCAGAGGCTCTCGTGGATGAGAGAGGTTAAGGTGTTCACCTTTCATTCAAAGGTCCCAGGTTCGAATCTGGGTAACTACGAGTAAAAAATTTTGTTCTCTAAAAGTTGTCTCTTTTTACCTCCTTTCCTGCTCTCTAGCAATGTTCTGTCGTCTGCTTTCACCTCCACTTTCTGCCCCCACCCCTTCTTTGCCCCTTCATCTGGGCTCCTGACTCTTTCTGCAGCATTTCTACTACTACTCCTTGGCTCCTTCTTACTGCTGTCTTTCAGTCACACCCCTGATCTTCTGGTAGGAAAGATCTACACCAAAGCCTTCTCGGACAAGGGTGAAAAATCTTGGAGGTCCTGTGTGCAATTTGGGCACGTTAAAGATCCCTTGGTGGTCTAAAATCGATTAGAGTAGGCTTCGGCCGCCACCAGGCAAAATTCAAAATTTCCTACCAAATGAAAAATGTTTAATGTGTCCCGCGCCCACATATGCCTTATATGCAGTTGCGAGCGCCGTAAAACACTTACACCCTCCCCCCTAAAAAAACCCAACCCCAACCAATCTGATTAACCTGACTGCTGTTGCGATTTAATGCCGTCATGGCAGTCAGCTGTGTTGGTTTTGCGTTCCTTTTCATACATTCTGGAACTGAGGAGTATCGAGACGCCCACTCCCAGTCCCTCTTGCAAATGTACTTCAAAATCTTGAGGGCACATCATTCAAGGTTGATTGAAAGTGGTGCAAAACTGTCCCCGCAGAATTATGCAAATGTAGATGGCCAAATTATGCAAATTATCGTAACACCACTTGCGCCATGTTTTGCACCTTTTCAACAAAAATTTTTACGTTTTATGTACAGAAAAATTTTAAACAGAACATATCAGTATCAGTAATTTGTTGTGTATTTGGAAAAAAAACAATACACATCAGTCAGAACCCCCCCCCCAAAAAAAAATATCTATAACTTTCAGTTGTAGATCTATAGATCTAGAGGAAAGAAAAATGTAAAGAAAAAACATATTTTTTAAAGGATATCTGGACCTCTGATGCTGGCACATCACTAAAACCAGGGACACCTGTCAAACATGAAATATCAGCAGACATGAGTACAACTTTTTGATGGATTGAAAAATTGAACATGCTCAAGGAATAAAATCCCCAACCCATAACCATTAACCAAGATCGTCTAACAAGGAAAATAATCAAATTGTCATTTAAATGAGACTTATTACGTTGATTACTTCCCTTTAGTCACACGACGAGGAATTAATTCATTATTTTGTGGACAAAAGGGGGAAAAAACGTGAAAAAATGCAGGGAATCCAAAATAATGCAAATGTTGCAGAAATACGCGAAATAATGCGGCTGCACTATCGCATAATCCGACGGGGACAGGCAAAACCTACACACGAGCTAATGTGTAAACAGAGTATTTGCCCCTTTACACCTCCATCTGTTTGAGCACAGTCCTTACCAAACTAATGTAAATTTGCACTGCTATAATACAGCCACTGAACTGGCCACCACAGGTACCCACTACACTACATATTACCTGTATATGAACACATGTGCTCACTACACATGGCACCCACTTGGTTGTTTGCTGCCAATCTCTCACACACTCACACAAACGTCTCTGCGAGCTCGGTCTTGCGCTTGTTAGCGATTTACTCCCTTCCACCTCCCCACCCTTGTTTTGTACATATTTGTAGGTTTCAGTTACAAGTGTTAGTGTAGCTAAGATGTTCATTGTCTATTAGTCAGTCCTCAGGCAGATTTGGATAATCGACAGTGCATGTGCAATTTATAATTTCACTAGGTGACATTTAGGCTACATATAGCCCAAATAGCCAACCCCCACTTAACCTTATTTGGGCTACATAGGCTACTTACAACAACAAAACCTGCAGGGAGTAACTATTGGGGGCCGCAACATCAATAACCTGAGATACGCAGATGATACAGTTCTGATTGCAAACACAAACTACAAACGAAAATCTTTCTAAAATTGTAAAAGTAGTAAAAGTGAACATGAGCAGCAAGGCAGGCCTCGACATGATATGAATGACAGGAAAACAAAAACAATGGTCTTATGAAACTCTTCTAGAAAAACAACAGACATTACCATTACCGTTCTTGTAATAACAGAGGCTGTTAAAAATGGAATGGGCTGTTACTATGTACTACTACCCAATGTACCCACATGGCTGAGAATACTGAGATGGGTAATTCCTCTGTCTCAGTGTCTGTAGTTCCCAGTCTCTTTTGTTACCTTTCTATTATAAATTATAGACCTACCCTACATTTGTGGTACAGTAGAACATGACTACATACTACATGTAGTACAATGTAATGTATACTGTATAGCGCACGTTAACAGAATCCCCTTTTTTTTCTTTCTAATGTATACTCAATTACCTGTGCTCGGGTTTAGCGGGGCAAGGAAAGGCCCGAACTCAGATTGGGATACAGCGGAAGAGATCC